TTTAAAACATTTTTTGATAAAAACAATAATTATTGAGATAATTAATTTTGATACCATACTATTCAGAGGGAAATTAAAATGTCAAGTTAGAAATAAATTGTATTAACAAAAATTGTTTCTGAAACAATTTTAAACAAACTTTGTCAACATTTTTTTTTGATTTAATCAATGATCAAGGAGTTAACCTCAAAACATAAACATAAATTATTTGATTGAAATTGCGAATATAAAAGGAGGAAATTTTTATCTTTTGCTGTCTTTTAGAGTGATGGACGGTTTAATTAAAAAGTTAATTAATTTTCCGTCTAACAATAAAATAAATAAAAATAAAGTTTTATTAAGAACTGAATTTATGAAGATCCCCATATCGAGTGAAAAATTTAAGACGCGAATGTTAGCTTTCAGTGGATAAAGAGGTGGCGGAAAAGCGATATCTCTTGACAGCGTCGTTATCTGGAAATAATGTCGACGCCCTTTACCCTGGCGGGCATTAAACTTCTTTATCAGGAGCTGGGCAGACCCCGAGGAGAAACTCTTGGAATTTCGGTCGGGAAGTTTTTGCCACTTAATAATATGAATTAGTAACGCTAATTAAAGGAGGAGTGCCGAAATGGGCGACCCTAACGAAGCAAACTCCGGTTAATTTCGATTTTTTTAACAATCTTCAACTAAATAATTTAAATTTATTGTTATTGGAATCGGGCGAGATTCTATTTTGATTTATTTCGGCTTGAATTGTTATGCAGTTGAGTTTGTGGTGCGCGTGACACCCCAATGGACTTTCATCAAACTATTTGTCTAACCGTGCAAAATTGAAATTCTGGACACTACAGGAACTATCTCGTCAATATTAAATTTAGTTAATTCCTATTGGCAATGTTAGAATACCCAAAATGAATTGTAATTTAAATAGGACTTATTCATTCAATTAAGAGGGAGCTAATTAAGGGTTGTTGTTTTCAAGGTGTATATATTTTTCTTCTAAATCCTTTTGTTTAACTAGATAATAACGGTTGAAAAGAAAAATCGATAAGACGCGAAAGAGGGAGAACAAAACTGCGCGAAATAGCAAACCCGGCGTTGTTAATTAATTAATGACATCGTTAAACACGACACCGGCTAAACCCCTCGCGTTGGAGAGAGAGGATGACGATGGTGGAAAAGAACGATCTTGTTCTGTGGGCTTTCGCAGGGAGAGGAAAAGAAACGTAACCCTATTAGCTAATCTGCTACCGTAAAACCGAGAAGAAAATAAAATCCTCTTCCGTAATAGAATTTAGTACCGCTTTAGAGACGAATGTTTCTAGTTCTATGTCTAGATAGCACTAAGTTGTTGTATATTTCTATTGAACTAAAATTACATAAAATTACAATATAGAATAAGTCTAATAAATCTAGTGTCGTCGAGGAAATTAAATTTACAGTTTCCTGTAAGTAAAATCTAAAAAGTTAACAATTAAATACGAATATAACTTCTGGTATTTTAAACAAATAATTTTTTAATATGTAACATTCTAACATGTCAAACTTTTTAAAATTTTCGTAATTGATCTTAAAAACAGGATTTTTAAAGTGACACTTCAAAAAATATGAGCGTCATCTATCGATAATTCATTAAGTCATTTTAAGATAATATTAAATCGTAATAAAAAATGTGAATCTATTCCAACTTTTGCGTAAAACATATATAAATTAAACAGTTCAACAAATATATTTGTTTCAAATATCAGAAAAATTTTTTTTTTTAATTTTTAGTTATACAACCGTGATTTACAGGAAACTGTAAATTTAATTTCTTCAACGACACTAAAAGAAATCATCAAGTCATTTCTGAATTTTATCTTTTAATGTTGGTATCGGTGAAATGTCAAATTTAATCGCTGACAGCTCGCGACTCTATCTCTCAAAGTCATAAATGATGTTAGTTTAGGCCAAATACAAAATTTTGACGTTGAATGAGTCAAAAACTTGGTGTTAGTTCTAGTATTAATTATTATTCTAGGTTGTTGTAAGGTAAGAAAATAATTATTTTTGTAATATCGTTTATTAATCACTTTATATGACAGTCTGCTTTGGTATAAGTTCTTTGTATACAATTTGAACGCATTTAATAATAATTACATCACAACACGTAGTAGATTATTTTATAATTTCCATTTACACATTTATTATAGTAATTTTTCGTTTAAAACTAAATAACATAACATTAAAATTAATAAGGAAAAAGAAATAAATCTTAAAATCTAATATTTGGCATACAAAGACTTCTCGGTATTTATATACACCCTTTATATTACACATAATCTTAATTTAAAATTTTTTTTATACATTTTTACATATATTTACATAAATTTCTTTTAATTTTAGTAATTAGATATCAAAATATATGATTTTTTTTTCTTAAATTTACCACAATTTTTATTCCCTCTTTAACATAATTTTTTATTTTATTAAAACATAATTCAAACAAATTTATTTGTCGTTTGAACGGGTCTTGCTCTCCCCAAAGACCTCGTTCAATTTATATTACGTCTCCTCCTCCTCCTCGACGTCATTTTCGGAGGCTATGGACTCTTCACCTTTAGCAAGACAATCTCTTATTCCACGCAAAATAATCTCAACGCGTCGATCGAGGGCTTCCAGGTGGGGTTCCCATAATATCGGAGTAATTGGATCTTTAGCCATGCTACGCCGCATCGCCTCACTTAAATGTACCGGACCGTTATGGTATCTAAAACGAGATAATAATAATCAAATAAAAGGAAATAATGAGATGCGTAAAATATAAATAAATTATATTTCCGCGAAAATATAATTATTAGTACGATAAAAATGCATTTTGGGATGCGTGAAGTAATGAATTGCCCCCGGAACGGTATTTATTTTTCACGCAGCGTAATTGCGGCCTGAATAATAAATAAATACCATGACAGAGGAGATTCTCGCAAAATGGAAGCACATTTACGAACGTGGAACGCGTTTTAATGCGCCCCCGAAGGTTTTAAATTAATATAGCACGAATTATTTCGATTTATTTATAGTTCGATAAACGGAAATTTACACGAGCGCAAATATTTGCGGCATTAACCGACCTCTCTACATATACATTTCGCACGGTATTTTCGTAATTGATTTTGACACCAGAAATGTTCCAATTATTCCCTTCGTCGATTTCAATATAAATTTGTGCATAATATCGTTCGTTTAATTAAAAAATTTCTTTATCTTTCTTCTTATATTAGTGATCCAGAATTTTTTAACCTGTCAAAGTCTAAATGTCAAGTTGAAATTTTAATTTCCCACTGAACAGTATGGTACAAAAATTAATATTTTTGAGGTTATATCCTTATTGTTGATTTAATCAAAAAATTTTGTTAACAAAACTTGTTTAGAATTACTTCAGGAACAGTGTTTGTTAATACAATTTTTTGCTAACTTGAAATTTTAATTTCCCTCTGAATAGTATGCTATTAAAATTAATTATTGTTTCTATCAAAAAATGTTTTAAACAAAATTTGTTACAATTTCGATTTTAAATCAATTATCTTAATAAAAAATTTTTACATCTTTATTAATTAACCATCTAAGTATAATTATGTATAAAAACGGAAAAATTATTATTTTGAGGTTATCTCCTTAATTATTGATTAAATCAAAAAAAATTGTTGACAAAGTTTGTTTAGAATTGTTTCAGGAACAATTTTTGTTAACACAATTTTTTTCTAACTTGAAATTTTAATTTCCCACTGAACAGTATGCTACAAAAATTAATATTTTTGAGGTTATATCCTTATTGTTGATTTAATCAAAAAATGTTGTTAACAAAATTTGTTTAGAATTACTTCAGGAACAGTGTTTGTTAATACAATTTTTTGCTAACTTGAAATTTTAATTTCCCTCTGAATAGTATGCTATCAAAATTAATTATCTCAATAATTATTGTTTTTATCAAAAAATGTTTTAAATAAAATTTGTTTCAATTTCGATTTTGAATCAATTATCTTAATAAAAAATTTTTACATCTCTATTAATTAAGCATCTAAGTATAATTATGTATAAAAACGGAAAAATTATTATTTTGAGGTTATCTCCTTAATTATTGATTAAATCAAAAAAAATTGTTGACAAAGTTTGTTTGGAATTGTTTCAGGAACAATTTTTGTTAACACAATTTTTTTCTAACTTGAAATTTTAATTTCCCACTGAACAGTATGCTGTTCTTTTAATCAGAACGAGTGGAGGGGGGAAATCGTATCGTTTTGTTACAAAAGTTCCGTGCCCTAGTAATCATGTTGTGAATTTTGAGGAATGATTATATCTGTTTGTGTAGGCTTTCTGTATACAGGGTGTCTCTACCGGAAGTAGACCACAACTTCGTTATTTTAAATGGAATGCTATAGTTTTTAGTACACCTTTCAATTATACATAAAAAAATATGTTGACTTTGATGAAAGTTGTTGGTACCTAGCATTTTTTGTTTTCAAGTTATTTTGATTTTAAGCTTTTTTTGGCAAATTTCGCCATGCTCTTTAATATCTCAGTTAACGTTCATTAAAAAAAACCTCTAGATTGGCACGATTACTCTTCAGATGTTGTCAAATAGATTGTCATTTCTTGTATCAGAGTATCTTATACAGGGTGGTCAAAAATTGAATTACCGTTTCTCCATATTCAATGGCTGGAAAGTCGAAAATTTTAAATGGAACACCCCGTATTTTTTTACCCTATCAGAAAGGGAATTTAATTCTCTACAAATTACCTATAAACATTCTTATACCTATTTATTGTAGTTTCCCTGATATTGGGAAAACGGGCTTTGGGATTCTATGTCTGATTTTGATTAATTTTCCAATATCAGGGAAACTACACTAAATAGGTATAGGAATGTTTATAGATAATTTGTAGAGAATTAAATTCCCTTTCTGATAGGGTGAAGAAATATGGGGTGTTCCATTTAAAATTTTCGACTTTTTCGCAATTGAATATTGAGAAACGATAATTCAATTTTTGACCATCCTGTATAAGATTTTCTGATACAACAAATGACAATCTATTTGGCAGCATCTGTAGAGTAGTCGTGCCAATGCAGAGCTTTTTTGAATGATCGTTAGCTGAGATATGGGCTTTTGCGAAATTTGTCAAAAAACACTTAAAATCAAAATAACTCGAAAACAAAAAACCCTAGGTACCAACAACTTTTATCAAAGTCAACATATTTTTTTACGTATAATTGAAAGGTGTAATAAAAACTATAGCATTCCGTTTAAAATAACGAAGTCGTGGTCTACTTCCGGTAGACCGGAAGGGGTGGCCATCTTGAAAATATTTTAGATCGAAAGTTTAGAAAGAACAACCCATGCTACCAAAATTTCGAAACAATATGAATAGTTGAACCTTAAAAAGTTCTAATGAACCAGTTACGTGAGACACCCTGTATATTGTATTTTATTTTGTCACATCCAGGAAATTAATTTTGTTGTTTTTCACTATTTCCAATGTTCCTTTCTTGTACTTTTATTAAAAAATGGATTATTTGTTTTTAATTCTACCGATTTACTAATTCTTCTTCTTATTAATTCAAGTGAGTTTTTTAGTTGTTGTTTTCATCGGCTCGTCATTAAATACTAATCAAATCGGGGTATAAAACGGTGATTACGGGCGAACGCGCGAATCCCTTTGATATCGGCCGCTCGCTTTATTGCGTTTTTATATTATTATATTTTGCGGTTTGCGACGGCCGTTTATTGTTTCGTTTGCGGCGGCGGGGACGACGACGACAACAAAAATACTCAACGATTTTTAAATTTCCTCATAAATTAATACAAATTAAATTCTACAACTAATTGTAGTAATAATAAGTCGTTTTCAACATCCGGTTTCCTTGAAATCCTTTTCTTTTCTTTTTTTTTTAAGAATTAAAAAGAAAGAAGCCCAAAAAAAAGATGTACGCTCGAAAATTGATGTTAAACTTCATCGCGCTTGCCTTGGACCTCACAAGAAGACGTTGATGACGCGCGGGTTTTCATTGAAGCGACCTCTCGCGACAGACCGAGAGAATCGTCGCGTAGAAAAGAGATGAAGATAAATGGCGAAGATGAACGGCAGATAAAGAAGGAAATTAAAGGATGAAGATGGAAAAGGGTACACGTTATGATCCATTATTACCTTGGGTATTATCTGAGAGGAGTGTATTGAGTGGAGTTCGGAAATTGATTTTTATAAACTGAAAATTTCATTTTGGAGGTATCGATAAAAAAATTCTTCGAATATTTCGACTTAATTTCGACTTAGAACCATTTAGACATCCACCAACAACCCTTTTTTAATTTTAAATTTTTTTTAAACACCTCCTCAAATCATCAACATTATTTCCTTTTAATTATTTAATCTTAATCGTGCATCCTATAATTACTAATAATCGATCAGAACAATTTTGATTGACGCCAATTGGGTTTTTCAATTTCCTAAAGTTTTCCTCAATTTTCTGGAAATCGTCCCATTTAGTACTGTTAAGCTCTTTTAACTTAGGCCCACTTTTACCATCCTCCTGATAAACTATCTAGAGGATAGTTGCCATGGTTACCACGGTTTTTATCTAGCAACATAATGTTTGGACTCATTTTAATAGTTCTTTTTAATAATCATAAAAGAACACCAAGTTGTCTACTAAAAATTAGCTAATAGTAAAACAAGAAAATGTAGTAAATTTTCATATTTTCGTATTTTTCTAGCTAATGACGCATTTAAGAGCAAAAATGCAAGAGAGCAATATTGTTAAGAATAAAATTTTCTACAACTTTTGATCTAAAAGTTTTTTTGTAATATGCTTCGATTCCCGAATGTTACCATTAGCTAATAGTAAAACAAGGAAATGTAGTAAATTTTCATATTTTTGTATTTTTCTCGATATTGACGCATCTGAGAGCAAAAATGCAAGAGAGCAATATTGTTAAGAACAAAATTTGCTACAACTTATGATCTAAAAGTTTTTTTGTGACATGCTTCGATTACCGAATGTTACCATTAGCTAATAGTAAAACAAGAAAATGTAGTAAATTTTCATATTCTCGTATTTTTCTCGCTATTGACGCATTTAAGAGCAAAAATGAAAGAGACCAATGTTGTTAAGAATAAAATTTGCTACAACTTTTGCTCCAAAAGTTTTTTTGTAACATGCTTCGATTACCGAATGTTATCATTAGCTAATAGTAAAACAAGAAAATGTAGTAAATTTTCATATTTTCGTATTTTTCTAGCTATTGATGCATTTAAGAGCAAAAATGAAAGAAACCAATATTGTTAACAATAATATTTGCTACAACTTTTGCTCCAAAAGTTTTTTTGTAACATGCTTCGATTTTTTGTAATATGCTTCGATTCCCGAATGTTACCATTAGCTAATATTAGTTAATAGTAAAACAAGAAAATGTAGTAAATTTTCATATTTTCGTATTTTTCTCGCTATTGACGCATCTGAGAGCAAAAATGCAAGAGAGCAATATTGTTAAGAATATAAATATATAAGGTTATATCTTCAAGCCGAAGTCGCTTGCGGCCGAGGCAGTATATTTATTAAGCTCTATCTTTATGGAACCTCATTGTAGCGCCTCGCCCGCAAGCAACCTCGGCTATAAACTCTAATAAATACCAAAAATATACCTTACTTGGCTTAACTTGCAGTTGCAGTTTATATAAAAAAGTTTTCGAGGTTTATATCTTCAAGCCGAGGTCTTTATGGAACCTCATTGTAACGCCTCGCCCGCAAGCAAGCTCGGCTATAAACTCTTCATTTAGTCCATTTAGTACTGTTAAGCTCTTTTAACTTAGGCCCACTTTTACCATCCTCCTGATAAACTATCTAGAGGATAGTTACCATAGTTACCACGGTTTTTAAACGCGACTTTTTGGATCACCCGGTATAATTTTTTACTTAGCAGAGAAGGAAACCATCCAAAAATAATTTTTAAATGACTCCAAGCGACATCTTTTATTCATTTATCTAGCAACATAATGTTTGGACTCATTTTAATAGTTCTTTTTAAAAAAGAATACATCATAAAAGAACACCAAGTTGTCTATTATATGACAACTAACTTCAGATTTAAAATGTCAACCTCGATTTTGACATATTTGTAATCTTCATTAAAAATCCTTTAAAATGAGTGCAAACACGACATATTTATCTTCAATATTAATGAAATTATGTTCAACTTCCGGTTAGAAATGTCAATGTCATTTTGACATATTCTTAATTTTTATAAAATGTCTTAAAATTTATCGCAGAAACAAAAATACGATAAAAAAAATAAAAAATTAATATTTAATAATTAAATTGCTATCTTCATTGTTACTAACTTCGGGTTTATTCAAGCTTTTATGTTTTTTGAGATAAGTGCATCATCTTTGGACTCATTTTAAAGGGTTTTTAATGAAGATGACAAATATGTCAAAATTGACGTTGACGTTGTATTTGGATCTTAATATTAATATTTTGGATTTATCTATCCGATAAATTTATCAGGAGGTGGTAAAAGTGGGCCTTAAAATTGAAATCGATTTTAGACCCACACCTATTATCTTTTAATTCTTAAAAAAAATGAAATCCGTTTTTATTTAGTAATAACCTTGTAAAAGTTCATTCCAAAAATAAATCAATCAAGTTAATAAACCGTCATTAATTAATTAGCTTAAACGTTTTATGGCTCCTCCCGGTTCCGGCCGCGTAGTATCTTAAAGCGCCATCACGCGGCGGCGGCTCCGTTCTAAATTAGTGAGCGGCACGCAGTCTATTTGCATTTTGATTTGCGGGTCTACCGTGTGACGGCGCTGCTGGGCGGCAACAACGGCCGCCATTTAATTGAATCAAAGAAAAAATCTTTGATAATGATCGATATCCCACACTTACATATAAGATTTAAATTGGAATAATAACATATTATGCTGGTTTATACAGGGTGTCTCAGCGAGACCTGTCATTAGACGTTTCTGGGGTTCTGGCCAAACAAAAAATTTGAAAATGCAGACTTAAGTATGCAAGACTTAAGAATTATCCTTGTTTTACTATTAGCTAATGGTAACATTCGTTAATCGAAGCATGTTACAAAAAAACTTTTAGATCAAAAGTTGTAGCAAATTTTATTCTTAACAATATTGCTCTCTTGCATTTTTGCTCTCAGATGCGTCAATAGCGAGAAAAATACGAAAATATGAAAATTTACTACATTTTCTTGTTTTACTATTAGCTAATGGTAACATTCGGGAATCGAAGCATATTACAAAAAAACTTTTGGAGCAAAAGTTGTAGCAAATTTTATTCTTAACAACATTGGTCTCTTTCATTTTTGCTCTTAAATCCGTTAATAGCTAGAAAAATACGAAAATATGAAAATTTACTACATTTTCTTGTTTTACTATTAGCTAATGGTAACGTTCGGGAATCGAAGCATATTACAAAAATACTTTTGGAGCAAAAGTTGTTGCAAATTTTATTCTTAACAATATTACTCTCTTGCATTTTTGCTCTCAGATGCGTCAATATCGAGAAAAATATAAAAATTTACTAAATTTAAAAGAAACGTCTAATGACCGGTCTCGCTGAGACACCTGTATACTAATTATAAATGACTTACCCAAGATTCCATCTATTGAGTGATTTTTTCTGTCGCCGTCCTCTTTCCTACCACCTCTAAGCAGTCTNAGAAAAATATAAAAATTTACTAAATTTAAAAGAAACGTCTAATGACCGGTCTCGCTGAGACACCTGTATACTAATTATAAATGACTTACCCAAGATTCCATCTATTGAGTGATTTTTTCTGTCGCCGTCCTCTTTCCTACCACCTCTAAGCAGTCTGCTTATTGAACTTACAGATGGTGCGGTCGTTTTATCGCATATTCCTTCCTGTAATGGAGGAAAATCTTGGTTTAAGTTAAATAAGCGGAAAATTAACTGCACATTTCATAACATAAACATTGTTAAATAAACAAACAAAAAAATGATTGACCATTGTTAACCGTAACACGTTTTTATTTCATTTTTGATAAGAATTTTTTTACCTTTATAAGCTTGTCGCGTATTTCCCAGGAGAAAATACCGGGTTGTTCCTTTTTCAGTTGCTCGATGCGACTTTCAACTTCAGCAGTGGCCACTCTCGGTTTAGATCCGCCGATGACGCCAGGCCTGATGCTTCCGGTTTCTTGATATCGATTCAAAATCTTAGAGACACATCCGTGAGATACGCGAAGCTGGCGTGAAATAACGCAAGGTCGAATTCCGGAGGCTGCCATTTCGACTATTTTCAATCGGATGTGATTCGGAAGTGGTCTACCGTTAATAAAGACACCTCCTAATTGATTCACGCGACCTTGACCTATAACAAAAAAGAACCGTCTCAAAAAGATTAATTTAAAATGTAATAAAATTAATAAAATAAACAAGTTATTATGCAAATGGATGGTTAATTTAAAAGCCATTTGCGAGGAACCTAGCAATTTCACCCCTATATTAACATCGAAGTTGAGGTGGGGAGAAGAATTTTACCACTACCGACGCAAGAAAGATTGAACACCTGTTCCTTGCGTGAGCGCCTTAATAATTTTAAAGAGGCCACAGCCACGCTTTAAATTAGCTGTTTTGCGAGCACTAGTAGCCAATTATTAAGCACTTTTAACCCTTTTTTTCTTCAATAATTACTAATAAAAGTTTCATTTCCATTTTGTATCTAATTAATAGCTTGAGGCATATAAAATTATTATCTTGTTGAAATTTATAAAAGCATTACCGAGAGTTATTGTGAAATGGTCAACAATGGGAGTTGAAGAGAACTGAATTGGTTTTATTCTTGAGCGAAATACAAATATCACGGGGTGGTCCTTGTACTGGGCCTATTCATAGCCCGTTAAGGGGCACCATTGATGATTTTTGCGATGTATTAAACATCCACAATAGTTCATCTTCCAGACGATGAGGTAACAAACTCTTGAATAATGTGAATGGAATTGGGTTCAAACGTGTGTAAGAATCATCCTATTATGGTAGGAGAAGATTCTTCGTTAAATCGACAAGTTTGACAGTTCACAATAATGACAACCTCAAATGATTAAAAATTCCTGTAAGCCGTATTTATTGAAATTAAGGAATGAAACTTATTTTAAATTAAAGCTCAAAGCTTTCTCTTTAAAATGATGTATAATAGTTGATGGGTTGGATTGGAAAAAAATAGAGAAAAAAAGATGCTAATTTAAAAATTATGATTTTTTCTGAATGGTTTTATTGTAGTAAGAGAATAGATTTGTGTTTTGACCCCATTTAACATCCCTTTTTGTTTGGCACGTGTCAAATCTTTCTACCTACAATCATCCCGTCCTTGACCGACACCCCTTCGAAGAAAAAGAAGTTCTTGAGGTAATTCTTTGGAGTTATTTTAAGGAATTCGATGATAATGAATAAAAAGAAATGTAGAGAGGAAAGGAGGATGATGAAGAGGAGGTACACAATGGGTACTGCAAGAGGAGAAGAACGAACCCCAGAGAGAATGTGTGTATACTCGAGTTGAGAGAGAACTCAACTGACGGTTATGTATATGATATCTTAGGTGGGCGTGGGACATTTAACAAAATGAAAAGTCGGCCCCGGTCAGCGGCCTCTTTGATCTCACTAATGCCCGTTTTCATCAGAGGACCGTACCACCTTCGGGCAACACCAGATCGCGCCAGCAGCCTCTCCAAGAATTAACGGGTCATTTTACAATCTCCGTCTCTTTTTTTTTATTTATTTTTTTGTACCAATTTTTCTTGATTTTTTCAAAAACGAATGATATTGTTGAACTTTGAGTGTCAGATCTAAGCTTTCCTATGCTAATCGCGGCGAGTCGACGAAGAAGAGGGATTAAGAGAGGTTACGCCGATAATTTATTCAATCTGAACATCGTGATCCATCGCGATAGCGTAATAATACGGATACAGGCTTAGTTTTATGGGAGTTAAGGCGACCGCAAAAGGGCCGCTTGACACCAAGGGCACATCTTCGACGGCATCTTCACTTATCCTGTAAAGATCTTTCGGGTCTCGTCGTCGTCTTATTTTTTGTATAAAACTGTATATGACAGCTTGGATATTTTAAGCTTGTTATTGACCAAAATTAAAATATTTTATTAATTTTATTAATTAATTTCATTGGTCAAGAAAGATATCAAGACGTAACAATAAAAAGATCTTCATCTTACCTTGAAAAGGATATCCTGTAAAATAAGGCATGTTAAGTGTGGAAACTGCCATAATCTTGTAGTTAAACACGCACTTTTTTGTTCGCTTAACAACACTATAAGTTCTTCCCAAAAATGTTTCTTTCGAAAGAAATCTCACTAAACTGGAACTTCTTAATATCGACGAAGAAAACTACCAACTGGCCGTTTGCCGGACTTGTCGTCTGTCAGTTGAGGTGTGTAACGTCGAAGAAGAAGAAGAAGAAGCGCAAACCGACGGTCGTCGAGCTCCTTCTGCTTCGGTTTTGAGACTCTTTGCTTCAGACGCTTTGTTATTTTCAGAAGTACGTGTGGATTGGTAGACCGCCTCTGGTAGGAGGTACCAAAGGGGGGCTACCTCTTCACATTTTTTCACCAAGCGGTTCGTGCGGTTGGTACGTGAGAGAACCGCCTCGAGAATGAGAACGTAGAGAGGGGTTTTGGTCGCAAACAGAACTTTGCAAAGTTTTAGGCTTTCTAGCTTCATCCATTGCTGCTACCAACCAATCTTGCAAACTAAATCTCTTTTAAATAAATAATGAGACGTGATACCTGATTAATATTACAATATTTTTAGGTTATTCGAAAATGTAAGTTTTGTTTCAAAATTTTTTTTTCTCTATTTTTTTCCAATCCAACCCAACAATTATTATACATCATTTTAAAGAGAAA